CCCCTCGCCGGTATTCCTGGTGTATTAGGGAAGGCTGTGCACAATGTGTCTCAATTAGCTTATCACAGTAATTTGTGTGGCCGTGAAAGCAATGACTAGATACATTGTCAGACGAAGACTGGTAGTTTAGCAATGAATGTGTGGTATGCATTAAAGCCGCCTGCCTCCCCTGGTTGGGGCGTCAGGACAATGCTTCTTCCTGTATGAAGAGTAGCACAGTGCTTATTCTACGTTACCAGTAGTCTGTCACTGCAGAGAGGGAAGGCCAGGCCAGACCTAAGTAATGTGGTTCTCAGGTTGGTTCCGTTGGGGCAACCCCAAGAAGGCAAAGTTTCTCTGGGGGAACCCACGGGGGAACAACTTTGGGAGACACCGACTTCGGCTTTTTGTCTGGGTTTTGCCCCCTTTCCTGCCCCCAAGCATCAGGCACCACTATCACCCTTTGGGTGCCATATCTAGATGTTTCTCTTCCCGCCAGCTGAATGCACAGCTGAGGAAGGAGAGGATGCGGGGTGGGGGGGAAGGTGACCACCCTGCTTAGCCCTGGGAAGGAGTCAGGCCAGCACCTGCCCCCGCCCCTGCCCCAGGTCTGCATTTCCTTACCCAGGGATGACTCGGATGCCGAGGAGGACTGGTTGACACTGAAGGCCATATCGGAATCGCTATCGTCCTGGGAGCCGCTGAGGGACCCCGACGGAGACGGGATCACAGGGCTGGACTGCAGGGTGCCTGAGACCAAAGAGACTCCATCAGGTGGGCGCTGCCCTGCTAGTCCCTGGCTCTCCGCTGCTTTGCACCTTAGCCTCCCCCTCTGTCTAATGGGAGGGCAAGAGCCGCCTCACAGGGTTCCAATGGCGTCGTACGTGCGTGGTGGACATCTGCTATGTGCCTGCCCCACCATCGTTCCCGTTTACTTCTGGGAAACAGAACTGGGGTTTTATTTCACACGATCCAGGCCAGTAAGAACGTCTCCCTCTTGGTCTCAATGGCAGTTTAGGGAAGGCCGCATAACCCAACGAAGGCCAGTGAGGCCTGCCCTAGAACTTTCACTCCAGCTACGGGGAAGAAAGGCTCACTGGCAGGCTAGCCTGGCACCGCAGGCCCGGCCCGCGTGAAGCCAGCACAGAGAAAGTGCACTCCGAGATGGAAAGAGGGGTGAAGTCCTACTGACGTCCTTCCACATCTGGACCAAGCAACAGTCGCCGTTGTTACGTTCACTACTGGCTAAGCATGCGGGAGGCGACAGGCACCTGCTGAAAGGATGCACATCTCATCCTTTCACCCTCACAACCCCAGATGCAGGGGACCCTGCCCTTCTGCACAGAAGGAAGCTGAGGCTCTGACTGCCCCGCCTCTTCATGGCTGAGCAGCCAAAGACTGCGGCAGCCGTTAATTCTCTCCGCGCTTCAGTTTTCTTCTCTGTAGATGGGATCATGAAACGGGTTTCCTACCATCGGCAGGAGGATAGAAGTGAACGAGGTGACAGAGGACACGGTCATCGTGTCTGTTAGCCTTGGGACTCGACTTCCCCAACCATGAGAAGGGAGCTGTGCTCTGTGAACCTTCCCCACACCCCCTCTGCCCCGCAAACACCACGCCCTGCAGCTCTGCACTCCCACGCCTGGGCCCGGTCCTCTGCCCCGCCCCATCCTGGAGCCCAGGGCCTGGCCCAGTGGGTGGGTGCTCCGTGTCTGGGGCAATGAAGGAAGGCAAGAATCATCTCAAAATAGGGTGGTTCAAGCCCGAATTCCATTTTCTGTGGACGGTGTTGTTCTCACTTCCTCTTTTCAGTGTAACTGTACATACTGTTTCTCCTACACTTACTATGCATCGGCTATGTAAATCATGTAACCATAGCAATGGAAATAACGAGTGCACTGGTCATTGGCCGACTGCATAAAGCCTGCCACACCCTGACGCCGCGGGTACTTAGGTCGGTGCAGACAAAATGTGGTCCAGGGACCTGCAACCTGGGCATCCCTGGGGCACTTGTTGGAAAGACATCCTCCCGGGGCCCAGCGCTACTGCATGGAAACTCTAGGTCAGTGGTTCTCAACCTTTTGGCCCTTTAAATACAGTTCCTCATGTTGTGACCCAACCATAAAATTATTTTCGTTGCTACTTCATAACTGTAATGTTGCTGCTGTTATGAATCGTCATGTCAATATCTGATATGCAGGATGGTTTAGGCGACCCCTGTGAAAGGGTCGTTCGACCGCCAAAGGGGTCGCGACCCACAGGTTGAGAACCGCTGCTCTAGGTGGAGGTGCGTGGTGCGATGGGCCTCAAGTTTGGGAACCGCGGGCTGGGCTTCAGCGGTGGCTCCAGCTCCAGCTCCCGCCCCCGCCCGCGCTGCGCCCTCTGGGTCCCGGCGGGCCCCGCGCACGCGCAGTGGGGGACTCACCGAGCAGGCGCAGCTGGCCGGCGGCGCCGCCCCGCACGACGAAGAAGGTCCAGAAGCGCCTGCGTGGTGTCCACGCACAGCAGGCGGCCGCGCGGGCGCCCGGTTGACGCCCAGGTGCACGTCGCC